ACATAACGAAGATTAATAATTATGTGATTATGATAACCACGTCAAGCATCGATCTGCAGGCAAAAATACTTGTTGGTTAAAGCCAAGGTGGAAAAAGAGTTTCCAACAAAGACAACAGTAGTGTCTCAACCGCGGTCGCGGTGCATTTTTCCCAGGTGTGCGCAGGTTACACGGGCTTTATTAAAACGACCGGTGTAAAATGCACATTCCAGCACGCCTTGCTGGCCAAGGTTTAGTGCAGAAAAACCGCTTGAAAGTTTCGATAACAAATGAAAATTGACAAGAGGTAAAAAACTCGCTAACGGTGCCGTGAAATCTGGGTCAGCATGTGACCGCCATTGCCGAGCAGTCAGTAGGTCGGTCAGTTCCGGGGGGAGAAGCGGGTGCAGACCACTGACCGACCGACCGACCGACCGACCGGCAGCACGAATCGCAAAGACGACATATGGAAGACGAAGACGTGGTGGTCGGTCGAACAGCAAAAAACTCGAAAGAAAAAACAACTGGCTCACGGCGTCCAGCCCGTCCCGGCTCAGGCCACTTTCCTTAATCATCGTTTCCACCGCCCACCGTTATTTGACGACGTCCGCAACGCCGTTCGTCGTCTGTCGTCGACCATGTGTATGATCAGGGGCAAATCTTGCCACTGCACACAACGGAACAGAATCGTCAAACGGAGGCAAAATTAACCGAGAGTTTCTGACATCGCTAGCAATAACATTTTGCCAAATAAAGGTAAATACGAACTGACCATTCATAAGAACATGCAAATAAAGAAAATAACTAAAAGTAATAAATGATTCGCAGTTGATGACGAAACGCTCTGAAGACGAACAATCATAAGCATTCGAAACATGCAGAGGTTGTTGCACTTCAAATGTGACAAAATAGGGTCTCTGAGGATTAGTGCTAAGCTAGTCACGATGATACTATGCCCCCAGTTGTCAGAACATGGCAACAGTGACAGACTTTGCATTATCTGCCTCAGTTCCCCAACAGCTTACGTGGACCTTAGTAACCAGGGCGACGACAATGCCACGACGGGAGATGTGGTCACTGTCTCCAAACTAAAATCTTTTCTTATCCGGGCTTAAGACTGATAACAGCGGAGTTGCGTATAGAAACAGCATTAAATAAAGCTTCATATCTTTTAGTAAAATATCGATAAGTCGCTAGATAATTCCATTCCAATAAATTCGAACAATCAGAGGAGGTTCGATCATTCATCCGAAGCACAGGAGAGGATAATTCCTTCAGACGCTGCTTAATACGAACACGGTCAATTCCTTTGCCTAAATAAAACGGTCACTGATCCTAATTTACAGCGAAACGACGAAACAAAAATTCGTCTTAAACAAGTCAACACTGAGGGAAGAGGAGGGAGGGTGATCAAAAATACCGCTGCTTCATTAAATGAACATTTAGGAACAAGGAACATGGTTGCAAAGCTGTCTGATCAGGTTATGCGCTAGTTGTTATATCCCATAATTCTGAACAACGGTACGCTGTGCAACAAAGGAACGAGCAACCTGCCAACAAACCGTAATTGCTTAGATCTATCGGTTAGCTTATGAACAAAGATATTTCGATTCTTGGTCATATCAGAAATTTTTTGATAGAACTTCATTCTTGTACGGACGTTCGTACGGCCTCATCCAGAGAGTTTCAGAAATAATCTAATGGTGCAAGTCGCGTTTCTTCGTTCAGAGATCCTACCGCTAAAGAAATCCTTAAAGTAGACAAAACTTTAGTATTATAGCTCCTGCAGCATATGGATGCAGATCTTAAGCATGTTCGAACATCAGCCAAAACACCCATATGTCGAGCCTATAAGTAAACAATAAATATCCATATTCTTGTTTTAATAGTGAAACTGATTTTTTAATAGGAATTAGCACAACACATACAGGTCACTGTTTTGGGTTTGCTGTCTAGTCTCATTGGTGTAGAATAATAAACACGAGGCTCAAACTTTAAAGGCGCATTCATCCCTCAAACTCAACATATGTACGCCCCATTCAGTACATTACCGATACGATCACCGCCTAAGGCTAAAAGAGTATTCCTCATTTATGCTTGACCGCTTGAAAAATTGGTTTCAAATTCATACTTTGCTAAATTGTTGG